AACCCCTTAATATCAATGAACTCAATTCACCTATAAAAAGACACAAGCTAACAGAATGGATCCATGCTTCTGCTGCATATAAGAAAAGCACCTTAACTTCAAAGACAGATACTACCTCAGAGTAAAAGGTTGGGGAAAGATTTTCTAATCAAATGGACATCAGAAGCTGCTGTGGCTATCCTAATATCTAACAAAATAGACTTCAAACTAATATTGATCAAAAGAGATGAAGAAGAATATTTCATATTCATCACAGGAAAAATTCATCAAGATGAAGTCTCAGTTCTGAGCATCTATGCCCCAAATACAAGAGCACCCACATTTGTAAAAGAAACATTGCTAAAGCTTAAATCACACATCAAAACCCACACACTAATAGTGGGAGACTTCAACACCCCACTCTCACCAATGGACTGGTCTGCCAGACAGAAACTTAGTAGGGAAATAATGGAACTAACAACTAACAGATGTTATGATTCAAATGTGCTTAACAGACATCTATAGAACATTCCACCCAAACACAAAAGAATATACCTTCTGCTCGGATCTTCATGGAACCTTCTCTAAAACTGATCACATACTTGGTTACAAAGCAAATCTCAATAGACACAGAAAAAATTAGAATAATGCCCTGTATCTTATTGAGTGACTTAAAGTTAGAATACAACATCACAAATTGCAGAAAGTCTACAAACTCATGGAAATTGAATAACACTCATCTGAATTACCACTGAGTCAAGTAAGAAATAAAAAAAAAACTAAAGACTTTCCTAGAATTCAATGAACACAAATGTACAATATTCCCAAACTTATGGGACCCTATAAAAGCAGTGTTAAGAGCACTGAGTTCATAGCACTGAGTGCCCATATAAAAAAAAATTGGAGAATCTCACACTAGTGACTTAACAGCACACCTGAAAACTCTGGAACAAAAAGAAGTAAATTCACACAGGAGTAGATAGCAGGAAATAATCAAATTGAGGGCTGAAATCAATAAAATAGAAACAAAGAGAACAATACAAAAAATCAGTGAAACGAAGAGTTGGTTCTTTGAGAAAATCAACAAGATAGGCAAACTCTTATCCGAATTTGGTGTGGGATGTCCTTCAATATATGTGTTGCTTTTATTGTTTGATAAATAAAGCTCTTTTGGCCAATGGCTTAGCAAAGTAAAGCCAGGCAGGAAATTCAAACAGAGAAATTTAGAGAGAGTAGGTGGAGTCAAAGATATTCCATGTAGCTGCTGAAGGAGAAGGATGCTGGAAACTTACGAGTAGGCCACAGCCTCATGGTGATACACAGATTAATAACGTGTTAATTTAAGATGTAAGGGCTAGGTAGAAATATGCCTAAACTATTGGCCAAACAGTGCTGCAATCAATATAGTTTCTGTGTAATTATTCACGTCTGGGTGGTAGGGAACAAATGAGCAGTCTCCATTTATAAAAGCCTTGCCTTTTGGTAAAGGTAAGAGCAGAATATCCAAATTTAAAAAGTCAGAAATGAAAAGGGGGATGTAACAACAGATGCTGAGGAAATTCAGAAAACTATTAGGTCATACTTCAAAAACCTGTATTCCAGAAAATTGGAAAATCTAAAAGAAATGGGTGATTTTCTAGATAGGTACCACATACCAAAATAAAATCAAGACCAGATAAACAATTTAAATAGACCTGTAACTACTAAGGAAATAAAAGCAATCATTAAAAGTCTCCCAACCAAAAAAAAGTCCAGGGCTAGATGGTTTCAGTGCAGAATTTTACCAGAATTTCAAAAAAGAGCTAATACCAATTCTCCTCAAATTGCTCCACACAACAGAAATAGAAGGAACATCGCCAAACTCTTTTTATGAGGCAATAGCTACCCTGATACCTAAACCACACAAAGACTTAACCAAGAAAGAGAATTACAAACCAATCTCCCTCATGAACAGTGAAGCAAAAATTATCAATAAAATACTGTCAAACCGAATCCAAGAACACATCAAAAAAAAAATCATCCACCATGATTAAGTAGACTTCATCCCAGTGATGCAGGGATGGTTCAACATATGAAAATCTGTTGGTATAATCTACCATATAAATAAACTAAAAAAAAAATCACATGATCATTTCATTAGATGCTGAAAAAGACTTCAACAAAAGCCAAAACCCCTTTATGATAAAGGTCTTGGAGAGATCAGGTGTACAAGGAACATACCTAAATATAATAAAGGCAATAAAAAGCAAGCTGACAGCCAATATTAAACTAAATGGAGAGAAATTCAGAAAAAAGACAAGGCTGTCCACTTTCTCCATATCTATACAATATAGGACGGGAAGTTCTAGCTAGAGCAAGAAGACAACAAAAAGAGATCAAGGGGATACAAATCAGAAAGGAAGAAGTCAAACTTTCACTATTTGCAGATGCTATATGATAGTATGCATAAGTGATCTCAAAAATTCTACCAGAGAACTCCTGGTAGAATTACTGTTAACACCTTAAGTAATGTGACAGGATACAAGATTTACTCAAAAAAATCAGTAGTCCTTCTATATACAAATGATAAACAGGCTGAGAAAGAAATCAGAGAAATATCACCCTTCACAATAGCTACAAGATATCATCTTACACCTGTCAGAATGGCTGAGGTCAAAAACACTGATGACAGTTTATATTGGAAAGGACGTGGAGTAAGGGGAACACTCCCCACTGCTGGTGGGAGCAAACTTATACAGCCACTTTGGAAATCAGTATGGCAATTTCTCAAAAAATTGAGAATCATTCTACCTCAAGAACCAGCTCTTGGGCATATACCCAAAGGAGGCACATTCATACCACAAGGACATTTGCTCAACTATGTTCATAGCAGCATTATTTGTAATAGCCAGAACAACCTAGATGCCCCTCGGCCAAAGAACGGCTAAAGAAAATGTGTACATTACACAATAGAGTATTACTCAGCTATTTAAAAAAAAAAAAGACATCATGAATTTGCAGACAAATGGATGGAACTAGAAAAAAATCATTCTGAGTTAGGTAACCCAGACCCAGAAAGACACACACAATATATATTCACTTATAAATGGTTACTAGATGTAAAGCAAAGGATAATCAGCTTATAATCCACAGTACCAGAGAGGCTAGGTAATGAGGAGGAACCTAAGAGCGATGTGTGGATTGACCTGGAGAAGGGAAATAGATGAGATCTCCTGGGTAGGGTGGGGGAGGGTGGGGTGGGATGGGGGAGGGGAGGGGATGGGGACGAGAGCATTAGGGAACTGGATGGTCAAGTTGGGGGAGGGACTGAGTGGGAGAGCAATGAAAGAGATCTCTTGATAGAGGGGGCCACTATGGGGCTAGGGAGAAACCTGTTGTTAGGGAAATTCCCAGGAATCCGCAAGGATGATCCTGGCTAAGACTCCTAGCAATAGTAGAGTGTGCCTGAACTGGCCTTCTGTAAACAGATTGGTGACTCCAGCTCCAAGGGACCTGACGGCCTCTTCCAGCTTCCTCAGGCACGAAGACACAAACATATAAACATGATTTAAAATAAAAATAAAATATTAAAAAAAAAACAGACAGAGGGCTAGAGAGATGGGTCAGTTAAGCACTGGCTGCTCTTCCAGAGGACCTGAGTTCAATTCCCAGCACCCACACAGCTGCTCACAACTGTCTGTAACTCCAGTTCCAGAGATTCTGACACCTTTGCACCAAAGCATACAAAATAAAGTGAGATAAATTATTTTTTATAAAAAGACAAGAGAGGAAGGAGGAAAGAGAAAAGGGAAATGAGAAGAAAGGGTGGGGCGTGTTAGATAAGCAAGGAAGGGGGAAGCGGAGAGTATGGGAAGAAGATACAGGATTTCTAGATTTTTTTTTTTTAAGAAGCATTTCTTAACTTGTCTGAGTGAGGTAATGTGTCAAAAATATTTGTGCAGGGTGGGTGGAGGACACCCACAGGCCTGCCCAAGTGGAACAGTTCGTATGCTACAGAGAAAGGAGGAACAGGAACAGAAGAAGCAAAGGCAAGAACAGGCTGAGGTTGGTGGCCGGCACTGCTACCCGCAGTCACAGTGACATCCGGCCTAGGCTGCTGCTGAGAGCCATCTGGGTCTGTGATCTAACCACAGCTGGGGTCTATGTGGATGGCTGTGGCTTCTATTACCACCAAAGGCTGTGCAGATGCCCAGGGTCTGGGCTGAAACCTGAGACTATGTTGGAATGACAGCAAGCTCTTGCCAGGGCTATGCTGATCTGGGAGACCTGCGCTGCCACCCAGGGCCATGGTGACATCCAGGCCTAGGCTGCTGCCGAGAGCCAAGTCTGGGCCCGTGGTCCTGCTGTGGCTAGTGTCTGTGTTGATGTCCTTAACACATAGTATCCCCAAGGGCCTTGCAAACCATGCCTGTTGAAATCCCAGGGCCGTGATGAGCCATCTGGTCCTATCGCTTGTTACTGGCTGCAGTGGTAGAGCTGACCCCACCCCGATGGGACAGCTGGCTCCACCCCTCACCATGGGTGCAGGAGTCCTGTCTCTGTCCCTCACCTGAGGGGAGCAGTCCCAGTGGAGGCCTGGACTGAGGAACTCAGCTACCACCCAGACCCATACCCAGGGCTTTGAGGGGGCACCCCCAGCAACCACCCTATCTATGACCTGCTGGAGCACATGAAGGGACCGGTCCCAAGGAACCATAACTGCAAGATCTCCAAGACACAGGGCAAGAGCAGGATATCCGAGAGGAGCCTCAGATACAGAGGGACTGGGAAATGAGCGGGATTGGGGTGCATGACGTGAAATGACCAAAGAATCAATTAAAAACTACATTTAAAAAATTTGTAGATCGGTCATAATTGTTCATAATTTGTTAATAAATATGCTTGTGTGCTTGGAATTTACAAAAGACAAACAGGTTTTTTTTCTTTCTCTCTCTCTTTTTCTTTTCATTTTTGTTTTTGTTGTTGTCAGTGCTTTTCAAGACAGAGTCTCTCTGTGTAGCCCTGTCTGCCCTGGAACTCACCCTGTAGACCAGGCTGTCCTCAAACTCAGAGATCCGCCTGCTTCTTCCTCCCCAAGTGCTGGGATTAAAGGTGTGTGCCACCGCCGACAGACTTGTAGCTCAGCTTCTTGAAATGCCCAGGGGTGTCCTACAAGTTACAGAGAAAAACCCATGGTTCCACCTTCACCTTGAGCTAGTGGACTGTCCCAGGCGAAGGATAGCTTGGTGGCAAATAGGGCTGAGTCCCTGCTGCCTACTGGAGGCAATTGTTGACACTTTCCCATGCCCTCCTAGTAGTTTGTCCCTTCAGCCAAGGGGACAACTGGGCACATCCCCACACTCACCGTTTCTACAAAGTAGTGCCATTCTGAGCTGTCTCTGTCTTCTGTCCCTTTCTAGTTCAAAAAGAAATAATTCCCATAAATAAAATATTGGACTGGGGTATTGTGTTTCACACACAAGCATGCGCGCGCGCACACACACACACACACACACACACACGGGGGGGGGGGGGCGCGGGGATTAAATAAGCAATTTCAAAAGAGAAAGAGAGTGGAATCCAGGCCAGCCTGAGTCATGTGGCAAGATCCTGTCTCAAGGGAGTGGGAGGAAGGGAAGGAAGAGATGAAGAGGAAGAACAGAAAGAGGAAAAAGCTTTTCTGAGGTACTGGAGGGAGAGGAAAGGAAAGAGGGGGGCACTAATGCCTAAAATTCACTAACCACATTCTGTCACCCACAGTCCCTTGCACCAGTTCACATCCTGAAGCTGTAGAAACAGGCAGCGGAAATAACAACTCTGATGAAGTCATCATTGCATAGATCAGCTCTCAGGGAGACTTTCTCCGGCCCAAACACGCTGTTTTCCCCAGCTCTGTAGCAATACCGCAGAGCATCCGTGCCATCTGCAGCAATGTTCCACAGAGGCCACGCCACCAGTCGCTGACCCTAAGGATATGTTAGAAAGAAAGAAGCAGGATTAGGAAGTTAGATTTAGTATTCAGAGTTGGTGCCTTGCTCAATCAAATTACACACTCCATATGCTGTGAAATCACGATCATTATCCCAATGTTATATCCTAAATGTATTAAATAAAAACTCTTAATGGCTAAACATAAGAGGTCAGTAGAACAGTGTCCCTTTTCTTTCTCTGTAGTCAAGTTATGCCCACTGCGAGAGCCCCCACAGATCAGTGTCCCCACAGAGATGAGTTATAGATTGCCCTTTCACATGCCCAGTAACTGGGTTCAGTCTTGATCCATGAAATTTATTCTCTGGAAAAATGACAGTTGGGAAAAATGGGGTACAGGTGTCAACCAGAATATCAGCAAGTACAGAACAGAGTTGCTATTAATGAGAGGTAGCTCCCCATGGCATTGTTCGGACAAGTCGGGGAGCCTTTAGAGCGTGGAACCTTGCTGATGGAAGCAGGTGTGACCTTGAGGTTTCTAGCCCGCGTGTGAGGACTGACTGCCTGGGCAGTTCCTGCTCCTGGGTCTGCTGAGAGCCAGGCAGGCAGCCTCACCTCCCGCTTCCACAGTCTCCTGCTGCTCTTGCTGCTGTGCCTCCCTCCTGCCCTGCTGGGGGCAGACAGGCGCTCTGGAGAACATCGAGTGTATCCCAGCTCGTGACTGGGACAAAGCTGACTGCCCTAGAGTGACTACTGCCGTGATGAGACACAGTGACCGAGAGAGAGCTCCAGAGAAGAGCTCACCCGGAAAAGCAGCGAGGCAGGACTCACCCAGGGCAGGATCCTAGAGGCAGGAGCTATGCTGCCGTGATGAGACACCATGACTCACCCAGGGCAGGAACCCGGAGGTGGAAGCTGATGCAGAGGTCCTGAAGGGGTGCTGCTTACTGATTTGCTTCCCCATGGCTTGCTCAGCCTGCTTTCAGGACCTCCAGTCCAGGGATGACATCACCCACAGTGGGCTTGGCCCAGTATTAATCACTAATTAATAAAATGGCCCACAGGTTTCCCTACAGCCAAATCTACTTTTTGTTAATTACATTTTTTATTAATTACATTTTTTCATTTATTTTACATCTCAATCACAGTCTCCCCTCCCTCTTCTCCTCCTGTTCCTTCCCCTGCCTCCCTTCTGCCCATCCCCCATCTGTTTCTGTTCTGAAAGGGGAAGGCCTCCCATAGGTCAACAAAATCATGGCCTATTAAGATGAGGAAGGACTAAGCTCCTCCCTTTGTGTTAAGGCTGGGTGAGGCAGCCCTGAATAGGGAATAGGTTTCCAAAAGCCAGCCAAGGCATTAGGAAAGGCCCTGATTCCACTCCTAGGAGTCCCACAGATAAACCAAGCTGCACAATTGTCACACAAATGTGGAGGACCTAGGCCTGTCCCATGTAGACTCCCTAGCTGTTGGTCCAGAGTCTGTGAGTTCCTAGTTAGTTGTTTCTATGGGTTCTCTTGTGATGACCTTCCCTCCCCTCCATAAAATCCTTTCTCCCTCTCTTCAGCAGGATTCCCAGAGCTCGGCCCAGAGCTCGGCCCAGAGCTCGGCCGTGGATCTCTACATCTGCTTTCAACAGTTACTGGATGAAGGCTCTCTGATGACAATTAGGATAGTCACCAATCTGATTACAGGAGACGACCAGTTCAAGCACCCTCTCCATTATTGCTAGGAGTCTTAACTTGGGTCATCCTTGTGGATTCCTCAGTTTCCCTGGCACCAGGTTTCTCCCTGATCCCAAAGTTCCCCCCAATCAAGACATCGCTTTCATTACTCTCTCCCTCCTGCCCCCAACTTGTCCAACCCCACCCCTAGTTTACCCAGGAAATCTCCTCTATTTCCCCTTCCTGGGGAGATCCATGCATCTCCCTTTTGGTTCTCCTTGTTACCTGGTCTCTCTGGGGCTGTGGACTGTAGCATGGTTATCCTTCACTCTACAGTTAATAGCCACTTGTGAGTGAGTACATACCATGTTTGTCTTTCTGGGTCTGGATTACCTCACTCAGGAAGATTTTTTTTTCGAGTCCATCCATTCACTGGCAAATTTCATGATATCATTGTTTTTTACAGCTGAGTAGTGCTCTATTGTGTAAATATACCACATTTTCTTTATCTGTTCTTTGGATGAGGGGCATCTAGGTTGTTTCCAGGATCTGGGTATTACAAATAATGCTGCTATGAACATAGTGGAGCAAGTATCTTTGTGGTATGACTGGATATCCTTTGCGTATATGATTCACATAGCTGCGTCTTGAAGCCAATTGATTCCCAATTTTCTGCCAGAATGATTTCTAAAATGTACAGCCAGATTTCATGGAAGCATTTTTTCACTTGAGGTGCCCTCTTCTCTAGCTTGTGTCTTTAGTAGACACAGAACTAGCCAGGCAGCTGATGCCTTGTCAGCTTTTGATACATAAACATATTACTGCTAAGCCACACCTTTCCCTTCTTGTTCATCCCCAAGATCACACATTAATAAAAACATCACAATATAAAATGTTTTACAAACTTACTAAGTCCCACAGTCTTACAAATTCAAATACTTTAAAAGTTGTATCTTTAAAAATACCCAGTCTTTTTTAAAATCCAAATTCTCTGTAAGACTACAAAATCTCTTCTTTTTTAAGTTTTAAGTCTCTCAACTGTGGGTTCTCGTCAAATCAAAAATAAAGTAAGTACTTTCTTACTTCAAGAGGGAAAAACAGGGCACAGTCACAAGCTAAACAAAGCAAAACCAAATTTCAACAGTGGAAATAACTCAATGCCCAATATCTGGGACTCACTCATGATCCTCTGGGCTCCTCCGAAGGGCTTGGGTCACTTCTCCAGCTCTGCCCTCTGCAGCACACACAGCTGGTCTTCCAGGCTCAAGTCAAGGCCTCTCTACCATTGATGCTGTCCTTGGAGGTCACCCATGGTCCGGACATCTCCAAAATGCTGGGGTCTCTTGCTGCAACTGGACTTTCATCAATAACCTCTCCTGGACTTTCTTCATGGTACGAAGCTGCAAATTCTCTGCACGACCTATTCAATCCTGCTACTGAAGCTGTTCATTTCCCCAATGGCCTCCCTTGGCCTCTCACAGTCCCAAGCCTCGGCTGCTCTCCCTGACCCCTTCCTGCCTCCAAAACCAGCACCGCCTGAGTGACTTTTAAACTACCAAATTCAGCTGCCAGTGCAAGGCAGCACAACCTGGGCCGCCTCTGGAGCACAGCTTCTGTGTGCTAACTCGGATGAACCACTCCCCAGAAGACTCCACTCCAGAGATGCTGGTCTTGTCTTCATCACAGCTGGTTCTTCGGCCCCAGCTGAACAGCATCCATTGTCCCTGCAAAGCAAAGGTTTACTTAAGTGGCCCTGGTCTCTTGTTAATCACAGCTGATTCTTCAGCTCCGTTGACCAGACACCACACACAAAGGGCCTAGTCGGATCTTTGCTTCCTTCTGAAACATCACAAGCCAGGCTTCCATCATCTACACTGTCCTCAACACTCTTACCTCCCGAGCTCACTGAACAGCTCACTGAGCTCCCAACACACAAAGACTTTCCTAGGACAAAGTTCCATAGTCCTTCCATAATTCTCCCCAGCAAAACCAGCCAGGCCTGTCACAGCAATGCCCACTATCCTGGTACCAACTTGTCTTAGTTAGGATTACTATTTCTGTGATTAAAAAAAAAAATCAACTTGGAAAAGAAAGAGTTTATTTGGCTTACCCTTCTACATTGAAGGAAATCGAGACAGAACTCCAACTGAAGCAGAGGCAGTGGAGGAGAGCTACATGCTATCTTGCTCCACGTGACTTCCTTAGCCTGCCCTCTTGAGAAGCCAGGACCACCAGCCAAGGGGTGCAACCATCCACAAGGGGCTGAGTCATTCCTCACCAATCACTAATTAAGAAAGTGCCTCATAGGTTTGCCTATAGCCTGATTTTAAGAAGGCATTTTCTCAGTCGAGGCGCCTTCCTCACTAATGACTCTAGCTTGTGTCAGGTTGACATAAAACTAGCCAGCACAGGGCTGCAAAATGAAGTGATTCCAGGTCACACATCCACTTGTTCCCAGAGTCTGACTGAGCCCAAGGAATCCTGAGCCCAATCCCACATTCCCTCTCACACTTTCTCCCCACAAAATATCGGAGGCTGTGGAAGGGGGTCTGACTTTTCACAGGTCAGATAACTCAGGCTAAGGTCTCTACTGGCAGAGACGCGAGTCAGCAACACCTGCTTCCGTTCCACTACAAACGGTCGCTAATAGGCCCAGAGGGAAACATGCGCACTTGAGGAAACCGGTTTGCCTTCGGCTTTGAAGCCTCCATGCCAACAAGTAATAAAATCATCTGAGGATAGACCTCAAACAAAGAATTTTTAAGAACTGGAAGGTCCAAGTTAGGAAAAGTTTAACAGGGAAAGCAAACATTCCTGATCTTTGTTCCTCCGATAAACTCTAAACACTGGCAATGCCAAAGGGTCAAGGTCCGCGGTCGCGGTGCCAGCAGTATTTACCGTACTCTGCTTCCCATGGCAAGCATGACCCAGACTCTCCCTTCAGACGCAGTGGTTGAGCACAGAACTTCTGGACTGTCTAGTGAAGACATATATTTCAGGCATTATTAATGCTAGTTTGGAAGCATTTACCAGTGCGTTTCTGTATCAGGCAGCTTTCCATTTCTATAGTAAAATACATGAAGCAAATAACTTAGAAAAGGTTTAATCTCTCATATGCAGGAGCTAGATTTAAATATAAACATTTAATAAATAAGCTATGTATAACCATAGATAAGAACATAAGCAAGGTGTGTATGATCTACAAGTATAAAAATACTGAAATGCAGGGTGATAGCACACGTCTGGAACCCCAAGACTTGAGAGACGGTGTGCAAGGATCAAGAGTTTGCCATCTGTGGCCACACAGTAAGTCTTGGGAAAGCCTGGGATACCTGAGACCCTTCCTCAAAAAGACAACAAAAGTCCTCCAGAAGAAACTTATCATTTGGACACTAAAGAAACTAACAATGGAAAAGAAGAGGGTGCTGGAAAGATTGGTCAGTGCCTAAGAACACTGGCCGCTCTTGCAGAGAACCTACGTTCAATGCCCAGCATCTACATAGTGGCTCACATCTGCCTATAACTCCAGTTTCAGGGGCCCTAATGCCCTCATCTGGCACATCGACTCATCCAGGCTCACACACATACACATAAACAAAAACCATAAATGTTATTAAAATGTAAAAGAGAAAGTTTATTTTGAATCATAGTTTTGGAGGTTCAGTCCAGAATTGAGAGTCCTGTTGTTTAGGGCCTCCAACTGTTAGGTCCCAAGGAAACCCAGGACAAGGCTCCCTTGGTTCCTGTGGCTCCTCCCAGTACTTCTCACCCACCTCTTACCCTAAGCCTCTCCAGCCCATTCCCTTCCCCCAGCTTCTCCTTCCTGTATAAACCTGCCATTTCAGCCCTGTGGTCTCTTGTCCTGCACTCTTCTATTGGTCTGCTTGTTTTCTCTCCTCTCTCCTCTCCTCTCTCTCTCTCTCCTCTCTCTCTCTCTCTCTCTCTCTCTCTCTCTGTCTGTCTGTCTCTGTCTCTCTGTCTCTCTCTGTCTCTCTCTCTGTGTCTCTCTCTCTCTGTCTCTCTCTGTGTCTCTCTCTCTCTGTCTGTCTCTGTCTCTCTGTCTGTCTCTGTCTCTGTCTCTCTCTCTCTGTCTCTCTCTCTCTGTGTCTCTCTCTCTCCTCTTGCCCTCGACCTGCCCTGACACACCCTATGGCCAGATTCAGTCTGGATTCTTCCAGATGCCTCTGGCTGTTCTCTCCCTCAAGTCTACGGCACAGCCCTTCCCCTCAACCATCCCCTGCAGCAGCCATGCCCTTGTCTGCATCCACCAAGGCACATTAGGTTGGAAATGCATGGCAGTGGAAGCTACTCATCTTGTGAGACAGGAAGTGAGGAAGAGGAAGAGGAAGTAACTGGTTCCCACAATCTTCTTCAAGAGCATGAGCCCAGTGACCTAATGACTTTTCTCTTAAAGGTTCCACCATCTTCCAACACCACCACCAGGAATCAAGCCTTTATGACACATTTGCATTTGACTGATGATCCTCTGAGCCACAGAATTCCACTAGGGCCTCTGCTTCATGATAACACAGGTATTCATTTAAACTCTTTAGATCTCCAATCCCAGTGGCAGGGGAGCCCTGCTGGTGGGAGAAAAAGCCCACCAGACCTTTAGATCTCTGTCTCCAGTCAGAAGGATGAAAAGAAACTGGAAATTCCCCGTCTTTTTATCTATTTGTGGCCCCTCTTCTTATCTCTGTGCCTATCAGGGATCTTAGGCCTCATCCCTCAGCTACATGTGTAGTTCGGTTGGCAGAGTGCTGATGGAGCAGGCACAGGCCGTGGGCTCCATCCTCAGAACCGCACAAACAGGGTGGGCAGTGCATGTCTGGAATCCCATCAGTGGGGAGGTGGGGGCAGGACTATCAGAAGTTCAAGGTCATCCTCAGCTTCACAAAGGAGTTTGAGGCCAGGCTAGGTTATATCAGGTCCTCAAAAACAGATGAGTAATTCAATGTAGCCACAGGAGCAAAACAGGTCCAAGGGTTGCCTCCTGGGCAGCTGAAATGACTTGAGGTTATTCATGGCAAATAGAACAAAGGGGGGGGCACCCCCAGTCTCCTCAGTGTAGCACAGATGGTGGGGAGAGAGGGGGACTCCTTTCAGTGCTGAGGAAGATACTGGCACTGAAGGTGCAGTCTCTGATCGCCTGCCAGTTGTGGTTCCGTCTGACCGGTCATCCTGGGAGGCAGACACGGCTCACTTCCCATGAGAAGGTGGCTGCCGCTCAAGCGGGCATGGGTTGATGTGGCTGCCAGCATCCTGTTCCTTGGAGGAGCATGGGCACAGACAGAGACTCCAGGCGTCTCTCTAGGAGTTCTGGAGCAGGATGTTTTGGAAGGTTCCAGAAAATCTTTCAAACTCCTAGCTATTCATCTCGGTGTATTGAACCTCGGAGAGGAGGATTACATGATGAGCGCTATCTGAATGATTAACGCGTAGAATTGAGTTGGAACTTGTTCCAAAGTTTAAGGCAGAAGAAACAAGTACAAAATGAAGGCAGCGGTGCAAGAGCTTATCATGCTTTTAGTTACCCATTGGCCATCAGCAGGCCCAAGGGAAAGGTCAGTATTCTTAGCTAATGCAGCCACTTTGTCCCTGTCATAACCCCAGAAAGAACAGCTATTGTCAAAATGATTATAACGCATGCCGGTAAGGATACAGAGTCAAAGGAATTCACAGACACTGTGGGTAGGGACGTTCATACCTACTGTGGAAAGCAATATGGGGGGGATTCTCACAAAATGGAAAGAGGAGGACCGCAGGATCCAGTAATCTCACTACTCCATCCAAAAGAAATTAAATCATTGCATCATTGCTCACCATACCCAATAACAATAAAAATGTTATGTACAGATACAACGGGATATTCTTTAGGCATATATTTTTAAGAGAAAAGAAAGAAAGAGAAAAGTGGGTACCTGGAGAGACAGCGCAGCAATTACGAGCACTAACTGCACTTCTGGAGGTCCGAAGTTCAGTTCCTAGCATCCACATGGCAGTTGACAACCACCCATCCGTAACTTCATTTCCAGGGAACCCAGCATTGTCTTCTGCCTCCTCAGACAAGGGCAAAGCACTCATGCACCTCAAGCAATGAAATAACAATTTCAAAAGGAGTTTCGAGGGACTCAGCACTGAAGCAGGAAGCGAGCTTGTTACTCTTGCAGAGGACCCAGGCTCAGTTCCCATCAACAACACAGAGGGGATCTGATGCCTTCTTCTGCCTTCCCTAAACACAAAGAACACATTGGTACACATACATACACGCAGGCAAAGCACTCATATACACAAAATAAATTAAGTCTGAAAACAATGTTTTAGTCTTCAAGGTTATCCTTCTATCCTTAACTACAGAGTGAGTTCAAGGGCACCTGGGCTACATGAGGCCCCGCTGCAAAACAAATACAAAAAGTAAAACCACATGGACCTCCACTAAGATGCCTAATTCTATGTACTCAGCTATTGTTCAGAATAAATATAATCTGGACTTTCAAAAATAATAACTCTAAAACATTTACCCCACACAATATTTATAAGGAGAAACCAAAATCCACGGAATCTCGGCCTTCGGTGGGGGAAGGGGACTTCCACCCAGCAGCTGTCTCTGCAAAGGCCATCTCTGCCTCTGCCATGGCTACCTCCACCATCTCTGCCTCTGCCATGGCTACCTCTGCCATCCCTACCTCCGCCATCTCTGCCTCTGCCATCACTACCATAGTTCCTCCAGCCGCTTTCATTTTCATCTCTTTTCCCAGCATTATTTGGTACTAGTAAAGTTTAATGTATTTATGGCAAGCCTGTTAGGCAGCTTCCTATCACTATGACAAAATGCCTGAGAAAAATCAACTACAGGAAAATAAGGTTTATTTGGGCTTCCAGTTTCCGGGCTTTCAGTTCAGCATGGCTTGGCTGTGCTCATCAGGACAATCAGAAAGCAAAGACAGGACAGAGAGGACAGAACCCAAACACCCCGACTCAGAGAGCGTCACTGTTGCTGTGATGAAACCCCACGGTCAAAACAACCGGAGGAAAGAGTTCACCCCACTCACACTTCCGTCTGACAGCTCGTTGTCATAGTGAGGGCGGCAACTTAAGCAGGGCAGGATCCTGGGGGCAGGAGCTGACGCAGGAGCCATGGAGGGTGCTGCTTACTGGTTTGCCTCCCCTGCTTGCTCAGCCTGCTTCTTTACAGAACCCAGAACCACCAGCCTGGGGTGGCACCACCCACCGTGGGCTGGGCCGTCCCCCATTGATCACTAATTAAGAAAATGCCACGCAGTTTGCCAGATCTTATGGAGGCTTTTTCTTAGTAGAAGCTACCTCCTCTCTGGTGACGTCAGCTTGTGTAGCGCTAACATAAAACTAGCCAGGTCAATGGCCTCGAGGACAGTCCCTGTGACTTGACTTGGTTCCACTAGGAGCCTTCTCCTAAAGGTTCAGTCTCCTCCGACTAACACCACCCTTGGGCCCAAACCTTCCACACTCAGGTCTGTCAGGGATGCTCCAACAAAACCATAGCGCTGTGAGGTGACAGTCACCTTCATTCCCATCACTGTGGTCAGCGACTGCAGGGATCTGCAGGTAAAGAGCCCTCCACAGACACATGTGCCTGAACACTCGGTCCCAGCTGTGTGGGTGCACTGTTCTGAGAAATGATGAGATCTTTCGGATGGGGGACCTATCAGGTGGAGGCCACTAGGGGCAGTCCTCGAAACCTATACCCCCTTCTCGTTCTAGACTTAGGTGCCTGTTTCTTATTTGCCCAAGAAGCAACCAATCTGCCTCCCCTCCC